TGCCTTGTGTGGCACAATCATAGCCATTAATTTTAGGGTAATTAGTTAGTTTTGTGATATAGAATTTTTTTTGGTTATTCATGCTAATTTTCTTATCTTTTAACAAAAAAAATTGATATGATTTTGCAGCATATATTATGATTATAAGTTAGGGTTTATATTTATAAATAGAAAGTGGGAGAAAAGAAGTCTCCGTTCGCCGTCCAAAAAGATCTGAGAATCCACCGACTGATAAAAAAAGGGCACAAGTTGGGATTAAAAGCATTGATTAACACATTAATTAGGCAAAGAAAATAAATAAACCATACCATTATAAGTATACGATAACGAAATGCTATGGTGTTTAAACAAAGAGAAAAACCTCCAAAAAGGGAAGGCGTAAAAAGCGATTGAAGAAATGGATGTATTGTCTCATCATCATAATTACCGAAATGGTTTAATTAATCAGTGATTACCAACTCCAATTAGATGATGAGCATTGTGTGGTGTCAAAAGATGTAACAATAATTTAATAAAAAAGCATCTCTCGTTTTTCGTATGTGGAGAAGAGTCAAGTAATGGTAGGACCATTCATTTGAAGCACGATGTGGCCTAAGCGAAACCACATGTTGAAAAGGAGCAAGTCGCAGTCAAATTGACTCAAAACTCATAAGCAATCAGGCCAGTCTCTGTTTGATCCAGATTGGACCTATTATTCGTATGATATGGGCTTGACCATTTTTGTTTGCACAACTCAAGGCCCATCTTCGTTATCAATTATTTGGCAAAATGAAGATTTGCTTCACGCTTTGCCTAGATGTAACAAGTAACTAGTATGGTAAACTGGTGGGTTATATATAATGTTTTAGTGTATCAATGGACAACTGAAACGAGCAAGTAATTAGAAGATATATATGTTTTTTTCCCGATAAAACCAATAAATTTTGGACTTTGTTTCATAAATTGTCATAGTGTACGGATCATCCATTAATAATTTCGTGTTTAAAACGTAAATCACTTCTCCCAAGTAAGATTAAATTAGCCAATTTAATAACTATCGAAACCATTAAATTACCAACTACTAGTTGATTATTACAAGATGTGTTGTTACTTGGGGAATAACAAGACAATGGGAATGCATGATTATGTCTCTTGTATTCCTTATATTTACTAGTGAATAGAAAATCCAGGTCTGACTATATCTTTGAGAGTGTACAAATTCGAATTCCATTCTCATATTGTTGAGCTTAATTTGACTCATAAAAACTTTTGAAACATAAGTATTTTTAGTCGTTTTTAAAACAGAAAAATATGTCCAAACTCTAGGGGTTGGTTGTATTAGCAATTAGGATCGCATGTGGTGGATCAGTCATAGAAACCATAATTAAAGTCGTCCGTATGAATCAGAAACAAGAATGGACCACTCTTTCTACTTGTCTTCATATGTTAACACTTATACTTGAGACTGACCATTTTGAGGTTGTCCTCCTCATATCATTTCTAGATGTAGACCACAC